ATAAATAGAAAAATCCTCAGAACATACCAACTCATCCCTCTGTCCACTACTTTGGACAGCTTTATAAAAATACTGCCATTTTTCAGGATCATCTGGATTCAGTGTTTCCGTACGAAGAAGCATCGTTGCAACATGTTGCTGTTCAGGAATACATCTCAAATTATAAATTGATTATTATTTCTTTTCTCCGAGTTCAGTCGTTTTCGAAAAATTTTCACGTAGCAAAAGATTCCACTCAGTGCTTACCTGACAAGAATGTCGATGGCTAGTTGCGACTCGCCAGTTGTTGTTGGTTGGGGGCAAACGTTGCGGAATAGTCTGATGAGCGTGTTGGCCAACTGGAATGCATAGGTTCAGTGGTTAATTTATTGGCTTTGGAAGTAATTCAATAGAGGACAATCTTCTTCCTTCACAGGGCAACTCTTTAAGAAAGTACAGAGGGTTGAAAGGCTTGGTGATCTGGATTCAGGGTCAATCATCCGTCCGATCGAGTCAGAAGGGATATGGTCGAGTTTGCGATTTTTTGGATTGGTTGGAGGACATACTTGAGGTAGACGTCCTTTCAACTGTTTCAAATAAGGCTATGGAAATTGAAGTGGTCCTACTGTGGGACAGGGGGTTCATCTTTAATGGGTTATGACAAAACTTTGGGATTCGGAAAGAAGCGTGAACTAGAAAGAACTAAAAAAATGTCATTTTTTCGGACATATTCATCTCCCACCCCTCCTGGGCTGAAGCCGACTCCAAATCTAATGTGGAGGAGACGCTCGTTTGCGTGGAGGTAAGGGGAATCAGAGGAGAGAATAAGAAGGTGTCCAAATATTTGACTCAAATTCGTGCCCACGTTCACAACCCTACCCAACGCTTCCATCGTAAGGGAGGTGATCCCGACATTCCATTTGAGAGACATTGTTAATTTACACTCTCCTCCAATCTGACCTAGTACCAATCACTTTCCAGAGGAATATTTAGTGCTTGGCCAAGGCAGAACTCGACCTTTCAAAGAGCGATGGTTGCTTAGGCCACATCGCTACGAGTCTTAATGCCAATTCCAGGGAGCACTTCCGAACACAGACAGGGCTGGGGTACATGGAACAGCCGTATTTCCTTTACCGTCTGCTACATTCTATCGGAACAGACTAAGCCAGGGACCTAACCCAGGGCCTTATGGATGGATACAGGCAGTATCTACCCCAAATAACGAAGTAAACGGATTACAATGATGGTCCCATTTCCCGGGCTTTCGGTTCTTCTGATCTCTTCCTATTCGCCTCACCCTGGTACCTGTAATTTCGCATTTTGATCAACGCCAAATCATCGTACCCGTACTGCCTTTGAGGTCCAAGTGATTTCAGAGAGAAGGCTCTACAATACACCAACTAAAGGGGTGGTAAGTCAATCATACTACAAAAGAGTGGGAGTGGAGGTTCTTTGCCCTCACGAACAGATTCTTGATTTGCCCTTATCGTATGATGTTTAGCACACATAATTTTTAGAATATTATGTGAAAAACTTCCACCTTAGAGTCATAAAGTGTTGGACTGGCGGCTCTGATCACTTGTAAAGCGGCAGTTTGAACGGGCACGCTGTGATTGGAAGTACAAAGGAATCCTCGGGCAAGTTCGAACGATCTGCAACGAGGAAGTGAAGCTGTCATTCAACAAATGGCCTCATCAACAACAGGAAGCAAGCTTACGCCGATATTGGGATGTTCTGAAGAACCTCCAGTGATTTCACATGGCAATCCTCTGTTTTGCATGCGCTGACATCAGCGATAAATCTCGCAACTATCTGAATAGCTAGATGTGAAATAGGAACAAAAGATAGGAAAAATTGAAAATATGGAAAATATATTGATTTTCACTGAGAGCAAGTAGTTACTATTCACAAACCCGTTCTTTTGCTTTCTTAGGACTGTGGCCAACGTGTTGGCTAACTTCCAGTACAGCTCCTGCTGTTCCTTCCCGTCGATCATCCAGTACTAAAGTCCATCATTTATGATATCAAATGCCCTTAAGCAGTCATCTTCCGTACCATCAAATGCTTATGCCATTTCTCATCATTGCTTGTAGTGTGGGCGGCTCCAAGCAGATAATCGTCCTAGGAATTCGGGTCCCTGGACCAGTAGCACTTCACGAGCAATTTTCAGCGATTCTTGATTACCAAGCGCACCAAGAACATTTCCCAACACATGCCTGCAAAAGAACCTCAGTACTAGTACTTCTTCTGTTGTAAAAGGTAAACGATGGATATAACTAGGGTAGGTAAAGAAAAAGGCTCAAGGTGGCCAGTGGCGTCGGGTCTCGAAGGCTAAAGGCAAGCCCGGGATTGGGCTCAATAGAAACCGCGCTCCACTGTTGGGTCCGTGCCAACAGAGATCGTGCCAGCCTTGTCGCAAGTTGCGCGGTTGAGACGCTTAGGTTGCTTTCATAGTTTGCGGCGTGCGGTCCGTGCGGACCGCGCGGAGACAGTGCGAAGCGTCAACACGCTCTCTTGCGCGCATGCGTACTTGACGTGCAGTCATTGCGGACTTGCAACCAGGGTGAATAACGGTCGAGGAATTCCTCGACCATGGCTCTCTACCTGTGCGAGAGTAGTGTCGAGAGTGAATGAATGCGCGGAGAGCACAGACGGCTCGCGGGTGGCGAGAGTGAGCATCCGCGTGGGAGAGCGTGAAAGAATCCTCGACGAGCCGTTGTCTTTTCCTCAAGCGATTTTCACCCTGCTTGGAACCATCACAACGTCATCTACTCGCGGCGACTGGTGTAGAGATCAGCGTGCTCTGTCGCAAATTTGTCCCCCTGATCGACCTATCTCTTAGTCGCGCCACATCCGTCCTTACTTTACTGTTTCGAAGCCTATTCCTTCAATTTCAGCGCATTCGATGATTTCGCCTGCTTTCATTCTCACCTTAGCTTCACTCCGCAGCTCAACCATTACTATGTAGCGATCTTATACACCAGCATAAGCCCAGGATTTGCCTTTAAGGAAATCGTGAAGAGGGTAATTTGGAGTTGCAAGACTACTCGGAACCAGGAAAAGCGTCGCGTTGTGCAAATTCCGGATTTTCCAGGCCCTTCTTCCACCTCATCACCTCATCATCACTTACACAAATTGCATCTACCACCACGAATGGTTCTACCCGATAACTGATCCTACCACCATTTTTCTCCTCACCCCATTACCTTCACCGTCACAGTCCGCTTACGCCTCAAAAAATTGCC